TTTTTTTTTTTTTTTAAATAAAAATGTTATTTTGGTTGACATATAGTAGATTTATCATTAGTATTTCAAAATGCATTAACATATAAAATTTTTATCAATTTTAATTTCTAACATGGTAAATATTGATAGGTATTACTCAGATACACAAAAGCTCCTTGCAACCAAAAATTTGAGGATCCCAGTTCCAAGTCTTCCTAAATTTATAGCTCTAAATTAAATTTCTACTATGAGCAACAATTTATATACACATGTCCAATAGGCAACTCAAAGTAAACAATCCAAAAAAGAATATTTGATTCTATCCCAAACTTCCAAATTTTCTCTTTCCTCATTTTTTCCCATTTCAGTAATGGCACCACAGTTCACTCTGTTGCTCATCTTGCAACCATAGAGAATTATCATGGATTAATTTCTTCTATAGCCTCTCACACTCAATCCATTAGCAAGTTCCACTGACATGACCTTTAAAATATATTCCAAATCACACCACTTCTGATCACCTTCATAACTATTACCCCATTCCAAGTCATTGCATTTTCTCTTGGCATCTTGGAAAATTTAAATACATATATATATACACACACACACACACATACATACACACACTAATTAAAGTTTCCCAAGGGTAACTATGGAAAAGTACAACTGTCTACTCTATCATAATCATCACCATCATGTAAATACTGGAAGAATCCAAATAATATACATAATATAGTGTTATTAGTTTTCTTTTTTTTAATATAGTGATTCAATAATTACAGTGATTCAATTTTCTCTAATCAAATCCTACAGATCTTCAGTCAAAAGTGTAGGTGGTATTAAATATTTCATGTAGAACTTTTCATAAAAGAAGCTAAACACAGAACTTTAAATTTTTTAAATGTTAGCATGGTTTTCCAAATAAATATTTGAACATTTTATATGACTCAGAGATTTCTGAATTTAGACAGTGGACTAAATTGTAAGATCTATATTTTCTGTTTACTAAATGTGTACTCAACTTACCTTATCTAGTTCATCTGAAATTGCAATACCTGGGATTAAAAAGAGATGTATAAAAAAGTTTTAGGAGCAATATTTAAAAGTCTAATAGGAAAAAATAAAATTCTGTCTGTAAAACAAGTGTATTTTCCATTCATTATTATTATTAGTGTTTCAAAATAACGTGGAACATCCTTTCTACCCATTGAAACAAATTAGGAATTTAAGTAAACAAGGACATCCTTGAAATTCCCAAATACTTCAGTGATGCAAAGGAAAGACAGGTACCACACAGCCTGCAGGTTGTGAAAGGTAGAGCAAACTTGAAAGGCAACTGTAGAGATGGCACGCAATGGGTTGGGCTGTTAAGATGACAATCAAATACAGCTTAGCCTATTAGGATTTGGCTTCTTCTTGACAGTTTATTTAGATTCCCAGAACGATATAATACAGTGAAACCTGTGAGAGTCAGAAGTCAGGAGATTATCTCATTCTTCCAGGTCTTTCAAGTTTTCTGCCTTTGACTGGATGAAGCCTTAAACTTTCCTATCACTTGTTTTAGAGGAAAATAGTTTAATTTTCCTTCTCTGATAGGTTTTACCTTACAAACGTTCTGGCTTTTGCAGGCTAACTGTATTAGCACAAAAGGGTGGTTGGAGATCATTTTTCAAAATTATGTTTTTATAGATGAGGAAACGGACTAGAGAGTTTAAATTATTTGTTCCACAAATTAGCTGCTATCAAAAGCTTCTAGAGCCAATGGATAAAGTACTCTTCTTCACACGTTCCCCTTCTCACCATCCACTTATTTCTCACTATACATCAATCTGATTTTTGCCTTTATCAACCCTCCAAAATTGTTCTAAGTCAGTAATGTAAATATTTCTCAGTCCTTATTTTCATTTTTTTCCCTGTGACAATTAGCTCTGTTAACACCATTCTCTTTCTGAAAATGCTATCCGCTCTTTTTCTATTCTCCTTCCTTGTCTCCATTTCAGTAATCGCTCTCTCTCTCTCTTTAAATTTTCTCCTTTCATCCTTTCCTTTCAGGGTTCTTTGCTTTTCTTTTCTTCTCACTTGATATGCCTCCTTTAGTAATCTAACTCATACCACCGATGGTATACATGATCACCAAGTTGACAACAACAACAACATATACTTATCTATCTATCTATATATAACTTTATATGTTATATATAGTTTTATATATATATACACTCTTTATGTTGTTGTTGTTGTTGTTATGTGCTGTCGACTTGGACCCAACTCATAGCGACCCCTCCTTGGGTTTCTGAGGCAGTATCACTATGGAAGTAGATTGCCCAACCTTCCTTCTGAGGAGTGGCTGGTGGGTTTGAACCACCAGCCTTCTGGTTAGCAGTCAAGTGCCTTAGGCACTATGCTACCAAAGCTCCCATAACTCTTTATATATTATATATATTTACACATATATTGATATCTCTATAATTCTTTATATGTGATCACCAGCAAATCTTTAGCACCAGCCTCAACCTTCTTCCTGAGCTAGTTGCTGAATTCCCACAGGCATTTCACTGTCAACATGTCAGACTAAAGATGTCTTCCTCCTCCTCCTCACTCTCATTTCTTTTTCTGAAAAATGGCGTGTGTAGGCCTTAACATGGGCTCTGTGGCTGGGCATGTAAGCAGATGTGGCCAGCCCTCAGGTTTATGACAAAGAACAAAAGGGACCTGATGTCAAAATCCAAGTGAAGTATGACCAAGAGGCAACAATGTATCTAAAGTTTGAAGTCCAAAGGAACACAGAGAAATAATAAGAGTTGAGACCAAAGTTCAACAGACTATAAAAAGCATAAAAGAATAATTTGACTTGCAAAACAACCTGTCTCAAGAAAGTAGTAGCAAAGAAAGTGTCTATTACATTAAGCTTCCCTCAGCTACTCAGGTACATATTTTCTTAATATTTATGTATTTTGATAACTTTGAGTAGGAAATTATCTAAATAAATCTCCATTCTATTGTATGTAACTCTTTCACCTTGCTGTTATCAATGTCAACTTGTCTAGGGTATTTCTCTCTCTCTCTCTTTTTTTTTTAATTAAAGCTTCAATAGATTAAAAGCAGTTGAAAGAACTTTAATGAAGTGCTTCTCTCAGGAGCATAAAGCTCTAATTGGGAACCACTTACATTTTGCAGCCAGGATATTTCTCCTAGAATCTAAGAAGAAGTTTGATAGTTATTTTCTGAGAGGAGATTAACCACTTTTAGGCAATTCATTAAACCTTAAAAGTCATCTTTAAACTCAGCATAATGTTTTCAAGGCTCATCCATGTTGTAACATAGATCAAATTCCATTTTATGGCAGTAAATGTCTATACCACATTTTGTTTAGTTATTCATTGTTGATGAGCATTTAGATTGTTTCCATCTTTCTGTTATTGTAAAAACTGCCACAAGGAACACCAGTGCACATATTTGTGTTCCTGCTTTCAATTCTTTTGAGTATATATCTAGAAATGGAATTGCTGAATTTTATGGTAATCTTATGTTTAACTTTTTGAAGAACGCTAATCTGTTTTCCACAGTGGAAAGAACCAAAACCAAACCCACTGCCGTCAAGTCAATTCCAACTCATAGTGACTGACCCCCACTGGGTTTCCAAGGTGGTAAATCTTTATGGAAGTAGATTGCTTCCAGTCTTGCTTCGGTGGAGTAGCTGGTGGGTTTGAACCACCAACCTTCTGGTTAGCAGTCAGATGCCTTAGGCACTGTGGTATGAGAGCTCCTTCCATAGTGGCAGTATTATTTAAATATTCCACCAGCAATGGACAAGGGTTTCTATTTCTCCATATCCTTGCCAATACCTGTTGTTTTCCATTTGTTGTTTGTTTGTTAAATCACTGTCCCTTTAGTGGATGTGAAGTAATATCTTACTGTGGTTTTGATTTGTGTTTCTGTATGAAATTGAGCATTTTTTCCTTGTACTTATTTGCCATTTGAATATCCTCTTTGGTGAAATGTTTATTCAAGTCCCTTGTCCTTTTTTTAATTGAGTTGTCTTTTTGTTGTTGGTTGATTGATTGCTTGAATCCAAACCTGGATTCTATATTTATCACATCAATGACAAGTTGTTAATTTTGCAGACTATTAGTTTCTTTGGCCAGACCATGTCACTCAACTCTGAATTTCTAGTGTCCACCACAGCTCCTGGCATTTCATAGGTACTTAACAAATGTTTGGGGAATAAATGCATGGGCCTATTTAGAGTTTGAATTTTGAGTTTCTTATTCAGTGAGAGTTTTCTCTTCTTTGCAGATATGTTAAGTGTTCTTCTATGTTTTCATCCCAAACCAAAAATATTTTGGCAAAGAAAGTTATGTAAGACCTAAGACACCATCTTTCATAAAATTTAATTAAAATAGTAATAGATTCTCTTATCATTTAATTCATACTGCTTGACCATGGTTGACCAGGGAATTACATGATTTGCTAATATTTAACTTAAATGTCTGAATTTTGACCACAAGAATTTCAGGAAGCTTTATTTAATGCTTAGTTGAAAACATGACCTATGACATCCAGGGTATTGCTGATATTCAAAAGTAATAACTAATAATAGGAAATGAGGTCAGTATATCATAACTAGACCTTTCATGATTTGCTGTTTCCTTGGGCAAATCCTTAATCTCACAGTATTACAATGGCCCAGCTGTGAACTGTGGATAAAATTTGTTGTTGTTATGTGCCATTGAGTCAGATCCGACTCATAGCAACCCCTCCTTGGATTTCCAAGGCATTATCATTACGGAAGTAGATTGTCTAACTTTCCTTCCGAGGAGTGGCTGGTGGGTTTGAACCACCAGCCTTCTGGTTAGCAGTTAAGTGCCTTAGGCACTACTCTACCAGAGCTCCTGTGGATAAAATAGTGCTATATTATTGGGTTGCTGTGTAGGTAACATAACATAATCCACATAAGGCATTTACCACAGTGACTGGCACATAGCATATGCTTAACAAACGTGACCTACTCTTATTACTTCTTTTATATGGTCAGTTATAAACCTACTCAGTTGGATGACTATCCAATAAATTGTGCATTCATCCAGCTAAGTCTGTTTTGAATTTTTAAATTTGTTTAGCCTGTTAGTATTCTGTAGCCAAAAACCGTGATTGGCTCCATTTTTATCATATCAATCTTTTTGTTTACTTATTTGTTTTCTTTGCCTGGAAGAGACAAAGACCTTAGTGTATTCTTTGTTTAAGCTGATGAAACAGGGCTAGGAAGACAACAAGGTTGTGATGGCTAACAGTTGTTGTTGTTGTTTTTGTTGTTATGTGCCGTTGAGTCTCACCCAACTCATAGCGACCCCTCCTTGGGTTTCCAAGGCAGTATCACTATGGAAGTAGAATGCCCCATCTTCCTTCTGAGGAGTGGCTGGTGGGTTTGAACTGCCAGCCTTCTGGTTAGCAGTCAAGTGCCTTAGGCACTGTGCTGATGGCTAACAGAGGACCTTCTAAATACAGATCAGGCATATGAAAAGAAAGTATGTTGGCTAAATCATTTTTGCCTCAGTGAATTGTGAAAAATAAATATAAAGAGGAATTTTCCATTTGTGAACAAGAGCATTTAAACATGGCAAAATATCCAGCAGTTTTAAAGTACTTGTATAAATTAATAAAATCTAAAATTTGAAAAAAAAAGTCATCATACTTTAATCTAGTCAAGATTTTTAAAGCTTACAGAAACTGAGAAGTAGTAGTGAACAGAAAAATATTCAAGAGAAAATGTAGTGGGTGTTATGATATCTTGTAATAAAAGAAGGCCCAGGATTAGAAGGTGGGACTCCTGATGTGTATTGGAGCACATGGTCTTCCTTTGACACAAGGTGAGATCTTAAAGGAAATGTTATCTGAGAAGAGCAGACAAAGAAGCTAGACTATTTGGTGAGAGGTCCATATGTAGCAACATATTGCCTGGAAAAAATGGGAGAAATAAGTTTTTCTAAAAACTGAGCATCACTGCTAGCTAAAGAGACAACGGCTCCCTCAGGCCTACCAGAGGTGAATTTCCTGA